CGGCCGTGCATGAGTCCAAGTCGGGGCAGCCCAGCATCCCGTGGCTGCGCCTGCTGGACGCCTTCCCCCTCTCCCTCATGCGCCCTGACGCCCACGTCGTGGCCTTCCCCCTGCTCTTAAACGCCCCCCCTCTGCCTCACCCGTTCATGTCAGAGCAACCGCTGCTGCCCCACAGGCAGCTGCTGCCACAGGAGGTGGTGGTGAATGGGTCTGTGGTGGGGCACGGCGATGGCGCTGTAACGCGGGGGCGAGGGGGGCGAATGATTCGTGACTGCGTGCACTGGTGCCTGCCTGGCGTGCCTGACACCTGGAACGAGCTCATGTATGCCGACCTCTTGCAATCTGACCTTCTTGGTGTCATTTGATTCCCTGCCATGCTTTGTGTAAGTAGTACGGTAGCCACACAAGCTAGCCCCTTGTCGCCACAACCTGGTGCTCGGATGTGATGTGAGCAACAGCTGATGCGTCAAAGGATGTGACGGAGCAACCCCTCATGATTCCACACAAACATGCACGAAAGATGCTGTCCTGTAATGGTAATAAGCCATGTAAGGTAAGCCAGCCAGGTTATGAGGCCCAACCCAAGCAACAGAAAGTTCACAGAAAATGGATAGGGAACACAGCATGCTCCCTAGCATCTTGTTCTGCCTCCTAAGCCTAGTGATGGGAGTTCAAGTGTGTGCGTTCATTCCTGCAAGCTTTCTGGCTGGTTTGTGTGGGCGGAGTGTGGGTGAACCCCCTGCGATTTGCCACCGTGAAGAACTGGTACAAAAACAACTCATTGCTGTAAAAAGAATACAGCATGGCATTAAACACATCAGCTCAAACTGTTCTGGCCATCTCCAGGAACAAAATATGAGCTCCAGAAGCATCACTAGGCTGAAACTCGAGAGACATGTCACCTTTTCTGGGCGCCGCAACCTGCAAAACGGCCATAGGCGATTAGTTGTGAGTTCATTTTTAGTGAGTTCAAAAGGATGCCGGAGGTGCTGAAAGGCATACCTGCAGGGCATCGCGGGCATCGAGCGTCTCCTTGATGCCACTCTCCTTGGAGGTCACTGTAAGGCCGCCCTCAATGCACAGCAGGTACATCTGCCGCCCCTTCTGTAGTGTGTACTCCAAGCTCCTCGCAGCAGCACCGGCCACTGAGCCATCCATCTCCGACACAAAGATGTTGACGTCTTGATTCACGGGAATGATTCCCGACCCCGCATCTTTAGTGGATCCATAACGGTCATAGCTGGTTACCACTTGCTGCAGCTTGTTGTGACGATCGCTCTTGCTGCAAGAATCAAGGGAAAGGTTGGAGCAACGCAACAGCAGGTCAGAAACAGATCATGATGAAATTACAAGCATGCAAAGATGGAACAGACGATGTTAGCAATCAAATGCAGCGCTACAAGTGTACAATAGCGATGAGAGAGGAAAGGCACAGTGGAGTGAGGGGGATCCAGGGTTGAACAATGGGGAGGCGCAAAGAGCTGCATCAAGGTTGAGCGCACCTGAAGGTGCGCGAGCCATAGTTGGGCTTGAGACCCCTTGCGTTCGGCTTCACCCAGATCTGAATGAACCGTTGCCTGCACGCACGGATAAGGAGGAGAACAGATCATGCATGGAAAGGGCAAAAAACTTACAGCAGGGAATACAGGGTCAACAAGGCTGAAGAGATTATGACAATGCGGATTGTGCTGATCGTCACACGCACGTACAGGTGGTTGGAGTTGTTCATCTCGGAGTGTGTGACGCCAGTGCCCGCACTCATGTACTGCACGCACCCACGCCCCAACGTCTCCGCTGTCCCCATGCTGCCAGGCCAGGGTCAAGGCGCAAGAGAAATTCACGACAATGGAAAGCATTAAATGGAGAAGTTCTCTTTAAGAATTGTCATGGATGGAATATTGCGTCATTGAAGCAGAATGCTTGGATGGTGGAGCGAGGCGAGTCACTGGGGGGCGCGCACCTGTCCTTGTGAGTGAGCTGCCCGTCCACGGCGTACGTGATGATCTCCATGTCGCGGTGTGGATGTGTCCCGAACCCAGCGTTGGGCTGCCAAGCATGAACGGCACGGAGGGACAGGAAGTTGGAAGGACCAGAGGAGTTGAGTCTAGAATGTTCAAAGCGAAGGGGCTGAAGGACAACATATGAAGTGAGCAGGTGAAGGCGTGTGGGAGGGACCTGGACGAGGTCGTCGTTGAGGACGCGCAGCACGCCGAACTCCTGATTGGCCGGATTGAAGTACTCCGCGAAGCTGAAGTGGAAGCGCGACTCCAGCCACCACGTGGGACGGGACACGTACAGCGAGCTACTCGGAATCTTCCTCACGAACTCCTTCGCCCTGACAACAGATACACGGTGCGGGATGAGGATGCCTGTGCACAGCGAAGGTCGGAACCCCTACAATGCAACGCTAGTGACGGGAAAATAAAATAAAGAAGGAACTAGGGTCCATTGGCCGACGAAACGACCGCTTACATGACTGTGGAGCTTGACCGAATAGAACCTTCTCTGGCGTAGGCTGTCGTGCGCCGAGACGACGACTCTAACGAAATACTTGGTTTCGGGACGGGATTTACGGGAGATGAAAGAAAATCGGATGACTTTCGCGGGATTGTTACTCTGAAGGCAGTCTTCGCTTCAACAACTAAAGCACTGGTGGTTGAACTCGAAAGAGCTTGTGCGGCTGAATGTCTTGTCGCTTGCAATAAATACGTCATTTGTGAGCAAGACGGCTACAGGCAGCGGGAACTCGAGCGACTAGGAACCAAGTAGAAGGCAAAGGGCTTCTTGTGAGCTTCTAACCATGAGGAGCATTCAGCGAAAGCAGGAATGGGAATTGGTACGTAGATGGAAGCAGAAATTCGCGATGATGGCAATCGAGGCGAGGCAACGCGAGGCAAGGCGAGTGGAGGGGCTGGTGAGTAAATGGCCGAAGTGGGTGGAATTTGCGCGACAATTTCTAGGAAATGCGGAGAGGTTCGCGAAGAATCTTTCGTCGCTACATTTCTCAAGACTGGTTGCGGCGATTACAGCACTCTGCGACATTTGAGCACTTCGCTGGTCAGAGCGTGCAAATGACGCTTTTGTTGTTGCCCATGGACTGCAACGCGTATGAATGATGAAATTTCACTTCAAAAGCCCAAAAGCTCCTTAGAATGATTTAGTAAAAACTCCAGAGTTGAGTCATCAAATTTGCGAGCAAACAAGAAGCAATTTCGTGGCAACCCGTCAATGGAACAAAATCCGTTTGATGGCGACTAGAAACAAAGAAACGGACAGAGAAAATAAAAATCTCATCAATCAACATTCAGAGCATGAAAAATGTTGCAGCATTATGGATGCGTGAGCAATGTGATGTGAGGGGAGGCGACGGGAGGGTAGGAAAGGTGAGGGGGAGGCGGCAAGAGGAGAGGCGACATTGAAACTCACCCATTCAGGTTGTGGAAGAGTTGGATCTTCGATCTGCGCAAGCAAGAGGAATCAACAACCCCCAGGGTTGCGTGAGATAGATAGAATATTAGACATGACCAAGTTCAACTGTCGATCGCATTCAACAGTGGGAGCAGTCGGAACCTAGGCTATCGAAGCTGGATCAACGCGTGTGGGAAAGGGAGAATCTTACATAGGAAAAATTGCTCCGTAAATCCTTCCAAAAATTGCGGTAGGAGAGAAATTGCTTGGATGACTGGGCAATCAACCACATGCCACAAAGGCAGACGGAAACACGTGCAATACCAAAAGAAAATTAGTCAGGGACGATGCAAGCAGCATGCAGCATTGAGAAAAGCGATGCAAGCTAGTGCGCTGGGCATCATCAACCAAATGCAGGACAGTGAGTTGTGACCATGGGTCATACCTTTATACTCGTTATAAGGTCACTGGTGGCATTCTCAGCAGCAAAAAGCTTGGGGTGCCACTCTGACAGACTCCAATCGGCGAAGGTTGTGGGATAGCGGGATATTCCCGAGGGGTCATACAGCTGGACGACAGGCACAGCAGGGAAGGCGAGCAAGGGAGAAAGAAAAAAAGAGAGCAGGAAAGCAGGAGCAGAATGATGCACGACTGTGAGAGTGAGGACTGGGAACGCCTAGCCCTGTTCCATGTGTCTGTGCTCATAGTCACATGATGGTACCATAACAGCTGCATTTAACAATACTCACGGAAATATTCGATATCCACTCACATGCAGCAGCACTTGGATGTAATGCTCATCGGCACAGCAGAAGCGGCTGCCCCTCTTCATGCGGAACTGCACACACACAAATGTGTGGGAGCAGGGGGCGGATGAGCTCTTCTGAGTTGACTCACGCAGCACTCACCCTACCCCCACTCTAACTTTATCCTCCTCTCATGAATATAGAAGGCCACTCAACCACCCATCACCTTCTCCAACCCACTGAAACAAAGTTTCCTAAATCACCTGACACGGCATTCACCAGGCACAACTCTCACCTGAGATGGTGCGCACCTGGCAGCTCTTCTGGTGTGTGAGGTAGTGTGCCGTGTCCCTCGTGATCATCTGCACGTGCCTCCTCCGCAGCACAAGCCACTGCCCCCGCACATGCACCACAGCACGGCACACACATCATGTAAATAAATTGTAGGGGGGTGTGAAATGATCACCAAGAACAGAAGACGAAGCAGAGTTGCGCCCACACTCGCGCAGTGCAAGGCATGCAGCAGAGGGTCTCCTGCCAGCAGCTAGCCCCGCTGCCCCTTGCTGTAGCTGGCTGCCCCGTGCTGTACCTGGCTGCCCCCCACATAGTCGTCCTTGTGAATGAGCGGACTGAAGATGTGCCGCTCGTAGCGCCGGAATCCCATGCGGTACTTGTCATGGTGCCTGCACCGACACGGGTTCACACAACAACACGATGTTCAATTCTCAAAGGCAACGCAGATGACTCGCGAAACCATCTTGCAGGACAGGCAAGTGGGAGAGAGAGCGGGAAGTTGAAGATTCTGCAGTTATATCAGCAACAAGAACAGAGGAGCAAGGGAAGGAGCAGAAGGGGCGCACTCACGCATCCAGTAGACTGACGTTGGCGGAGGCGACGTAGCTGTAGATGAAGGTGAAGGGCCACAGGGGGATGCACCTGCCGTGGCAGGGGGGGAGGGGGGTGGAGAAATCAATGCTGCCACGGCTCTGGTTCGCACTACACCCAAGTGTTGCTCGAAACTGACTGCCACAAACCATATTTTTCCAGTATTTCTTTCTGCCTGTGTGGCAAGTGGCAGAAGCGGTGCGTAAGAGAGGGGCGGAGCGGAGTGACGAGTGGGAGAGGGGCGGAGCGGACTGCCGAGTGGGAGAGGGGCGGAGGGGGCTCACGAGTCGGAGAGGAGGGCGAAGAAGGCGTTGAGGGGGTCGAAGAAGGCAGCAGCGAGCAGCTTCCTCTCGGCTGCCACCATTGAGAAGTCGCCCCATGCCACCTGGGCGCATGGTGGGGCCACACACGTGGAGAAAGGCCAGGATGGAAGGAGGGGGGAGAGCAAGGCTTGCTGTGCATCAGTGTTTGGCGTTGGAGGGGAACAACACATGGGATGCAATTGATGCCATGCAACGGATGCCACACCATGCATGAGACGCGACTATGCGAGTGCAGGTAACAGTCAGAGGTTTGGAGAGCAGTCAATCATGCCCTGCCTGTCCCCATGCGCCACACCTAGCCCCACCGCATTCCACGCCCCACCGCTCTCCACGCCTAGACCCACCGCGCTACACACGTGGGCTCACCTTGCCGCCTCGGATGAGAGCATCTCGGAAGGTGGGGGAGAAGTCAGGCGGGAAGGTGAAGCCGGGGGTGGACGCGTGCACGTACACGGAGTACCGCCCCTCGTGGCCCTGCTGGGGGCAGACGCGCGGGGCAGCGACAGTGAGACAGAGAGACAGAGAGACAGAGAGACAGAGAGCGAGAGAGCGGCGTGTGGCCGTGCTCAGAGAGCGAGCACGCTCCATTATCCGAGGCTTGTGAATCGCACCAATGCGCACCTAAGAGCGCAGTATGCACGCGTGAGGCAGCGTGAGGGAGCGAGGGAGCGGCGAGGCGCACCTGGAAGAATCGGTCCCACAGCGGAGCGAGGGGGAGCGGGCCTGGCGTGAGAAAGAGGAAAGCGATCTTCTCCGTCGCACTCGGTTCCACCGTCGGGAACGACTGCTCGCTACCTTTGGCGGGAGCATCCGACGTGGATTCCTGATCGCTGAGGTCATCTGGATGAACGGAATCGTCTGAAACGGTAGCGAAGTAACGATTGGTGTAGCAAAACGTGGTAACTACAAGTAGGACCAAGACAAGGACGAAAGTGGCGATTCTCGTTGAGCGAGGAAATCTGAAAGTCTTCCCCTCCGAGGGAACAGGCGGTTGGCCCTTGGCGGCAGCTCGTCTCATCATGCTGGCGTAGGCCGATCCTGGAGTAAGGCGGTGTCAGCAACGCATCGTGCCGGAGCGGCAGGTAACGTGGCGTCGCTACGGCCTTCGGGGAGACTCTGAATACCAATCACTCATTGACTTATTCCTGTGCTAAAATCTCGAGAAGCTATTGACCGTTAGCCATATCCGTGAGCCAAATCAAGGCAGCGTTTCCTTGGGAATGACGAGAATTTGGTGGACGGAAATTGGTTCGCGCACATGTAGCGCGGATATCACGCCAGGAATTGTGAAATCAATAAATCAAATTAGAACAAACACTAAAATTGTTCAATGGGTGCTATACACCACATCCCTTTTCTGTGCCGACTTTCCTAAATCACTTCGTGCAAATCCTCCTCCACTTGACTACTCAGTTCAAGTTCCGCATCTTCCTCCCTCCACTTCCTCTCCATTTCCACCACTCTCTCCACATCAAATCCCTCCGGCACATTCACCAACCAATCACTCACATGGCTCACCACGCGCTCCATCACATCCTCCCTCACACCGTCTCTGCTTGTAAGACCATCATCGAATCCCATCCCATCCATTCCCCACACCTTATCCTTCCCCTCACGTTTGAATCCATTGCTTTGCACCTTCTGTTCGACACCACCGCCAAAAGAGGCAAGGGCAGAGGCAATCCCAAGGCTGAGGCCAGCCATGGAGTAGACGCGCCCGTCCCACTTGCCCTCGTTGCGCACGTGCCATGTCTTAAAGCGCGGGTCCAGCTCAGCGCCCTCTGCCAGCATAACCACGAGGCCGCAATGCCGCAGGCCCAGCTCATCACTCTCAGCCCATTCCCCGCCATCCATCTCCAGCCACCACTCCTCAGCTGCCTCCTCATCATCCACACACCCATCCCTCCACATGTACGCCCCCTCCTCACTCCGTTCCTTCAACTGCTCGCCCTTGCACGTATGTTCTTCATGGTGCTTCAACGCGCCGCTGTGTTCCCCATCGGTCATCTCCCCCATTGGCAGCAGCGCCCCTGCCTCGCCCACGCGCACGAGGTCAGGCATGTCACCCAGCAGCGCCATCAGGCGGGCCTTCACAGACCACCCGGGGAAGGAACGGCTGCCGTACCCGTGCCTGACGAGCAGGCTCGGCAGGGAATGCCCTGTGTGCTCCTCTAGCCTGCCTGCTAGCTCCTCCAGCCACATCCACCTGCTGCTGCTGCTGCTGCTGTGTCTAGAGCTGTCCTTTTGAAGGGGCTCAGAGGGAGCAGCGGGGGCATCCCAGTCAGCACCGTGTGTGAGCACGACCCCCAGCACCACACGGCACAGCCCTGACTGCACGAGACTCAGCAGCTGCAACGCCCTCTCACTCCCAACCACTGCCAGCCTCTGCTCGCGCTGCACCCATCCCCTCCCGTTCACCGCTGCACCCCCAACCCAAGCAGCCGCAGCTTCAGCTTCACCACCACCAGAAGAACCACCCTCACTCCAACTACGAGTGCCGGCAACACCAACCACATTGGCTCCTCCACCCCTCGTACCTTCCTCCCCTCCCATCACTCTACCTCCCTCGATATACGCATACTCATTATAATCACGCACCACCGTGGTAATTGGCCTAACCAACGCATCCACATCAACCCGAGCAGGGTCGGGCCTCCACCACCCACGCTGCACAAACTCCCGAGCCATGCCGCCCAGTGGGAGCGGGCCGCGGGCGGCGAGGAGAGTGAGAGTACGGAGGGAGAAGCGAAGGAGGGCGAGCTCGAGGGGCGAGCGCAGGGCCGACGCGGAGGCAAACACGGCGGTCCACAGCGGGTCGTGGAATGCTGTGGTGTGGGCAGCACCTGGGGAGTCTTGGGCATGGCAGTCTGGCTTGTGCAGCGCAGTGGGATGTGCGTGGTGCTGCAACAGTTGACCCACGCCGCCCTGGCCGTGCTCAGAGGCAGCAGGCACGCGGGCTGGGTGGCGAGGAAGGCGAGCAAGGCGCGGGGCGGACTGCACGGGTGTGGGGACACCGTCAGGCCACTGCCCACCGTTGCTGCTGCCCTGGTGCTCATTGTCATTCCCTCCGACCAACGCAAGTGCAGGCACAGCAGCGGTAGGAGCAGCGGCGGTAGGAGCATCATCACCAGCAGCAGTGGTAGGAGTAGTGAGAGCAGGAGCAGGAGTAAGAGAAAATGCAGGAGTGGGAAGGCGTGCTTCCGCAGAAACATCATCAGCTTTGCTCGCAGCAGCTGCCTCAGCCTGTGCACCATCATGGGGCACAGCACCTGAAGGGGCACCAGAAAGGGCAGCTGAAGGGGCAGCTGAAGGGGCAGGTGCAGGTGTAGGTGCAGCATCCCCAGGCGCAATGAAAGGTGGCTGAGACAGCGCATGCACGGCACCATTCATACGAGCATCTCCATCCCCCTCCCCCTCGCTCTCATGGCTGTCATATGCCGCATAGTACGCATACTCCTCGCCCTCCTCGCCCTCCTCGCCCTCCTCGCCCTCCTCGCCCCGCCAATCCTCCCACCCTGCCACCACACGGTATCCCTCAACAACCCCACCACCTGCTGCCCCTGCTCTGCACTCCCCAGGCGAGGACGAGGCTCCATGTGCCTGCACCCCCCCTACGCCCGCGCTGCTGCCCTGCTCTTGCCCACTCTCGCCCTCCTCCTTCTCGCCCCATTCACTGTATGCGCTGCCACGCCCACCCACCACGCCACCACCCTCCCTCATGCGCCGCTCACCTGCCACTTGCACCCCGCCCTCCCTGCCCTCCCTGCCCTCCCTGCCCTGCCATGTGCGCCCTTCTTCCTCTTCCTCGTACATATCCCCTGTTGCCAGAAACCCATACTCGTCCTCCTCCTCATATTCCTCCTCCTCTTCTTCCTCCTCTTCTTCCTCCTCTTCTTCCTCCTCATCCTCTGCCTCCTCCTCTTCCTCCTCCTCGTCACCCTCCTCCTCCTCATCATCTTCCCACCACTCGTCCTCTTCCTCCTCTTCCTCATCTTCCTCCTCTTCCTCCCCCTCCTCTCCATCACTCCCCTCCTCACTCCAATCACCCTCACTTCCATCACCCAACATGTCCCGCTCTCCTCCTCTCCTCACAGCCTCCCTTACCACCCACCTCCCAACATCTGCTTGCTCCTCCTCCTCTTCCTCTTCCTCCTCGTCTTCATCCCGCTCCTCATCATCCCAGCCGCCATCCCCCTCCCCACGGGTGTCCTGCCACGAGTACACGCGCCCATCCCACAGCTGCTCGTTCCGCTCAGCCCACTGGCTCACAACGGGGTCGGCCTCAGCGCCAGCCACCAGCCCCACCAGCACCACACCCCCCGCCCCTCTCAGCTTCTTCAGTCGCACGAGGTCGGGCATGTCTGCCAGCACCGCCACCAGGCGAGCCTTCTGAGACACGTTGCAGAAGGCGTCTCGCCCGTACCCGTGGCGGGTCAGCAGCACGCCCAGCCTCTCCTTGCACGCGCGCCTCACTGCCGCGCCCAGTTCCTCCACCGCCATCCACCTGCTCGCCCTCCTGTCGCGCGCACTGCTCCTCGTGCCACCGCTGCTGCCGCTGCGTATAATACTCCCACTGCCAGTTGTATCGCTCCTGCTGCTCCCGTCCTCGCCATTACTGCTGCCTTCACTTGGCACCATGCCGTCCCCAGGGACCTGCTCGCCCTTGCCACTCCGCTCTGCGCCCTCCCCACTTCTTCCCCCCACCGCACCAGCGCTGCCCCGTGCCACGCGCGCAGCAGCATAGGCGGCATCCGCGCGGGCCACATGCGCCTGCAGCACGGCCACCACCACGCACCGCAGCCGCGACTGCACCAGTGCCAGCGCGCGCAGGTTGCCGTGGGAGCGCACGAGGGAGAATGTGCGGCGGCGGGCCATGGCCTCGCGCGCCTCAACGCTCATCTTCTTGCGCGCGGCCTGCCCCGGCCACCCCTCGCTGACGGCCAGCACGTGTGGCAGCAGCGCCACGAGCGCCTTGACGTCGCGCAGCCCGTAGTCCGCCAGGCGCAGCTGCCGCCCGTACACGCGCTGGTACGCCACGAACAGCGCTGATGTGGTGAGAGCGCCGTGGGCCGCCAGCGCGGTGAGCATGTGGGCGCGCAGGCGCGCTCTGAGCACATCCGCGGGCGAGCGCACGGGCAGGGCGCGCGCCATCACGTCCGCCCACGACTCCCTCAGTGGGCCCCCCTCTGCCTCCGCGTGGGATTGCACCCCCTCACCTGCCTTGAGCTCCGGCGGCGGTGGAGCTTCTGCATCGCCTGGGGTGATCTTCTCTTGACCCCTGTCCGTTGCTGCTTCACTTGCTTCATTCGCCCCATCACACGCGCCACTGCTGCTTGGCCTGCTGTCCCTGCCCCCACTCGCCACGCCCTTCTCCACGTGCGAAAGTCGCTCCTCCAGCGATCGCAGCCTCTGCTGCATCTCCTCCTTGTCCTCCCTGCCCCTGCCCCCGCCCTCCCTCCCACTCGCCATCGCCTCTGTCCTCTCCCTGCCTGACGTCCCACCAGCATTGATGCTGCTGCTGCTGCTGCTGCTACTGCTGCTGCTGCTGCTGCTGCTGCTACTGCTGCTGCTGCTGCTGCTGCTGATACTGCCGCCATTGCTACGAGCACTGCCGTTGGAACTACCGTTACCATTAAGGCTGCCATTGCCAAAGCTGGTGATGGCAGCGCTACCACTGCTGGCGCTGCTACCCATGCCGCTGCGGATGGCACCAACCGACTCCACTGCACTGCTGCCACTGCTGCTCATACTACCACCACCCCCGCCGCCATTGCTGCTGCTGCTGCTGCCAAAGATGCTGCTACCGCGCGCAACAGCAGCAGCACTCCCATTCTCGGCAACACCACCATCGTCGCCTCCCCTGCTGCCGCCCCTCCACCCGTTCTCCCCACCTGCACCGCTCTCCCCCGCAAGGATGAGCTGGTCCCAGTCGAGAGTGACGGCCGCTGACTGCGCCAGGGGCGCGGGGATGGTGCCGCGCTTGCCCTTGCTGCCGTTCTTGCGCGGGCGCGCGAGCAGCACGGTGGTGACGCCGCGGTTGGTGAGCTTCGCCAGCATGCCCGCAAACCCCACGTCTCCCGATACCACCACCACGCACGGCGGGACGGCTCTGCAGGCGGCAGGGCGTGGGAGGGAGGTGTGCGAATGCAAGAGAACGGGCAGGAAGGAAGGGCGAGGAGGTGGCGAGGAGAAGGGAGAGGGCGGGACGTTGAGTGAAGCCGATGCAAAGAAGGCGTTTGCTCGGGCGAGGCAGCAAGCGCTGCTGGTACGTGTTGTGCACTTCTCAAAACACCATTCTATAGCACGAGTTGTAACGAGTTTTGAGTCGACTCAAAACTCGGGCGAGGCAGCAAGCGCTGCTGGTACGTGTTGTGCACTTCTCAAAACACCATTCTATAGCACGAGTTGTAACGAGTTTTGAGTCGACTCAAAACTCGGGCGAGGCAGCAAGCGCTGCTGGTACGTGTTGTGCACTTCTCAAAACACCATTCTATAGCACGAGTTGTAACGAGTTTTGAGTCGGGCGTGAATAAAGGGAGAGAGGACTGTTCAATGCGCTGCACCGTGCTGCACTCATCTCTACCCATTTCCTCCGTTACATCCGCCGCTACCTCCCCCTCGACATCCGCCTCGCCTCACCGGTTGACCTCGCGCTCGTCGAGAGCGAAGAGCAGCGCGTCGGTGATGATGGCCTTGTCCGCCATCTCCTTGCCCGCCGCCACCGCCACCACCTCCACGCCGCACGCGCCCATCTTTCCCACCATGCGCGCATGCACCTCCTCCGGCTTCCCGTACGCGCGCACGCTCCGCACCACGCCGAACGCGCGCGCCACGTCGCGCAGGCGCCGCACGAGCGCAGCGCAGTCGGCGCCGACGGGCACGGGGCAGTTCTCGTAGTCCCAGAACACGCCCACGCCGGGCGGACACGTTGCTGACCCCGATTGCGGTTGAAACGAGTGTGACGGTAGCGGGGGGTTGTGAGGGTAAGGTGCTGGGGTGGGGAACGAAGGCGGGTAGGAGAGAGGTGGTGGGAAGGAGGGTTGTTGGTGGCGGTAGGGGGGTTGCTGGTAAGGCGGATAAGAAGACGCGCCGTTTTGAGAGAACGAGGAGGCGGACGCTCTGGCGGAGGATGGATGGGGGTTGTGGGGAACACAGGAGGAGCAGTCGGAGAGCAGGCGTGGTTGCAGCAACGGGCGGCTGGGGGAGGGAAGGAGTGTCGAGGAGAAGAGGGTTTTGCGGGGGGAGAGGAAAGCCTGGCGACAGGTGAGTAGCTCGTGGTGCATGCGGTCGGTGAGGCGCGCCGATGGCTGTAGACTCAGCCTGAGACTGTGATGGGTCGAGAGCGGTGCAGCAGCCAGGGTTGTTGGGGAGGTGAGCCGGGTGGAGGGTACCAGAGCTGATCGGCTTGAACAATGGCTGCTTCTGGCCGTGACTAACACTGAGCCAGATGAATGTGAGAATTCCGTATGCGTTATAAACATGACCTGCTTATTGGTGTTACGGATTCCCAAGCATGATAGATCCGCATTCTTCCGAGGTCGAGGTCCTGAAGAAGCAGTGTCGTGGGTACGGCGGCATGATCGATGCACTACCCCCGCTGGTGGAGGCCAAAGGCTTGCGCGAGTGAAAGAATTTGCGTTCGCCATCATAACCGGTGAACGCGCCGTGAAATCGGCTGTGGAAAAGCTGATGTCTGTAACCAACATGCATCAGAGAAGCTTCGCACGGGCTGAATTCGCGAAATTACAACGCTTATGTCGACTTAATTGGCTAGTTCCTGGCCGCACTTCCTCTGGCCATCGATTGCGTCGACTATCCTATGCTGGAACCACTAATAAGACCAGATTCAGGTGGAAGTACAAAGAATGCCAGGCCTTTAGCTGCTCTACTACGCCTGATATACTCCTGAAACAGATGAAATGCTGCACTGCAGAAAATTGGTTCGGTTTGGGTTTGCTCTGGTCTGATCTGTCGGCGTTGGTTGAGATATTTCAGCTTTTTGGCGCAGGTGTTTGCATGCAGTGCAACCAGCACAGCACTCTCCACTCCACCCCGCGCGCGCTGACATGTCAGCGGCTCTGCACTTTCTCTGGGGAAAAGATGTGCTTTCGCGAGGAAATGCTGCGACAGAGATATGTAACCAGAGTTTGCGAATCGAGTTCCTTTCGGTCCAATTTGGGGTCCAACGAAACTGGTTCGGTTTTCCCGAGGCACCTCGAGAATCTCCAGCCACAGATGTGCTGCCACATGGACCCGAGCTGCCATGTCCCTGGCGCTTGTTCCCTGAACTGACACTGCTAGCTCGTGTCCGTGCATGCACTGTCAGACGCACTAGAGCAGATAGATTAGGGTGAATGTATGAGCTCCACTTCAGAGAGCACTAATGAGTTGAGTTCATCAGTGAATGAAGCTGACTGATCAAAGCCAACTTAGACTGGGGCAGTCGTGTTAGGTTTGAGTGTGATCCTTGGTACTCTGCAGCAAAATGGCGGCGACGAGGTGTCTCGTTCAGAGCACTAGCTTGATAGACCATCGCGTGCTTCCTTCCGTTGATGCGCAATCGAGGCGTTCAGACATATCTGTATTTGCTCATCGTTCCATATTTCTCAACGAGCTCCGCAGGGCCCCCATTTCAGTGAGAAATGTGACCGTTAGCACCCGTTGCGCCGGCATTTTCTGCACGGCATTGAGATCAGCACGCAGTACTCCTAGACAATCTCAGGATGATACATACAATCGTCGTTGCGGTCATGCACGGCCGAGTACTCGAGCAGCCGTGTACGATCCTTCGAAAGACCTGAGCTTTAGCCTAAGACGAATTGATTGGTGAGTGGTGTGATCCTCTCGTTGCTTCCTTTCATTCGTCTAAGTTTCGTCGTTTTTTCGGCTGCCTCGTCCTTCTTCTTAAATTCCAACGTTTCCTCATCTCCTCTCAGATCCTGAGACCAGCATCACGCCACCCCCACCCCCAACGGAGGGTCGGTTCGAGATTCACGTGACCAAGGAGATGATTCGCAGCCTTGATCTCACCGTCGCACACCAGGTCATGCGACCGTTCGTCGCACAAATAGGCGACAACACGTCCCCTCCCATCTCCGACCCATCGCCCCTCCTCACTCGCCGCCTGGGCTTCACCATCAAATACGAAAGAGACGACCCCATTGACCCTCGGGAACTGTCCGAGCTGCCAGATGTCCGCCTGTGGTTCGTCCGTCTGGATGCCGCCTACCCGTGGTTGCCAGCAGTGCTGGACTGGCGTGCGGGAGAGCTGGGCCGGTATGCTGCAATGTTGGTGCCGCATCAGGTGAGAATCATGCCACACCCCATCTGAGCCAATTCTGGCACTGGTGCTTGTAAAAGTCCTTGGCTTATCCTTCCCCCATGCTCTCGTTCCTGACTCTCCTACCGCATCTTTCTACTCTCCCTCCTCTCCCAACTTGCCTGTCTCCACCAGATGAGCAAGCGCATGGGTCTGGTGTTCAACCCAGAGGCAGTGGAGCTATGGACCATGAACAAAGCCTTCATCATCCATGCATGGCTGGTTGCCAGAGGGGATCCCCGGCCTGACATCAGGGTCAAGGACATGGCCAAGTGTCTTGGGTTCTCCCTCTCAGATTCCCTGTTCAGTCTGCTAAATAACACCCCTAAAGTGTAAACCTGGTACCAACTTATTATCTTGGTTCCCTGCTCCATTTTATTCAAATGTGGGGCAGAACAATCAGAAGACTGGATGACACAGATTTGACTGCACTGTGTATAAGCATAAGGCACTAGCCTAGTTGATGCGCCTGCTAGGACGCCTTATCAGAGTTAATTCTGGCAAGAAACATCACATGGCTCCTAATCTTCATGTGCATGCTTTTGGTCTCTGAGCAACCCAAGCAGATGAAATGGGTACAGTGCTCCAGCAGCAACACCATACAGTGCAGATGTGATGGCCTCTTGTGGGCCCAAAACCACGCCATGCATGAAGCCGATCAACCCACTCCCAAGGCCGAGAGGCACGGCCACCAAGAGGGCGAGAGTGGCAGGAAGGAAGACAGAAGGACTGCTCAGATTCCGCATGTTGAAAAGTGACCTGTGGCTCGCTCGCTGATTTCTCTGGCCCGCTTTGACCTTTTCTTTCTGCTTCTCCAGCTGCCCCTTTTCTTCTCCCACTTCTCCCTTGCCCGACTTCTTCTCAACCCCTTCTCCCTCCCCTGCACTCTCCTGCTGCGCTTTCTCCTCTTGCTCTTCCTCTGGGTGTTCTGGCAAGCTGGGGAGCCTCTTGCTTTGTGTTGCCTCCTCATTGGCTGCTCGCAGACCAGCCACTGGCGAGTGGTTTCTCCAGTCAGGACCGAATGCTGCAGCCATGTGGTTGTGGTACCACTGGGTGCTGGCGTGATTGGGGAAACGTAGTAAAGGAAAGAGAGATCGAGGGTTAAGAAGGAATTTCAGCAACGGAGTGCCTGTATGGCTTGTACCTGCATTTCTTGTCATAAGTTCAGCACTTCCGAAATGCTATTTAAAACATGTCAGAGCCTGCATTTCAAGAAAACAGTTGATCCTTCCATGTATTATTCACATAATGTCAGTGCCTCTGTAACACTCACATTAGCACCTGGGTTTGTGGTAAAGAATCAAGTTCATTCCCGCGTCACCACTAAGAAGTCATGTCAGTACCAGAGTTGTGTGTCAATTACGTCTATGTAGATGTCTTCAGAGTGAACGGAACACATCAGTACCCGCTTTCATAGCACAGGTGCTTTTAAGACCTCTAAGGCGAATAGATATGTCAGTCAATCCATGTTTTTGTAAGAAAATGCGTCACTGCCTAAACAGGTGATCACAACTCATGCGAATAGATGCGATTCAGATTATCTATTACGTGAATGCCTGCATTTGCGGTACGGAGGTACTTACTTGCACTCTTGGAAGGGGCAATGTCAAAGACCTGTTTGATTTGCACAAATCGGACCTGTGTAGAAGGTGTAACACGCCATCAGAACTTGTGCTACTGCTATGCGGTTTTTTTCAGAACTTGCATGCGGTACTGACGTTTATGGTGAGGAACCATGCCATAACCTGGTTTATGGTAGCGCAATATGTCGACACCTGTGTTAGCAGTGATATTAACTTGCTGATAGTTGCGTACATAATAACCAAGTCACTGCCTGCGTTTGTGTTAGGAATTGATACATAAGGTTGCTCATCATCAATCAATTCCTGCATTCGGTATGAGATCATGTCAGAATCTGCGTTAGAGGGTAAGTTTGTGTCCATACCTGCGTTTGTGGTACGAGATCATCGCCACTATTGGAACGGCGTAGGCAAGGAAAGCGAACATGACCTCCACCTCCGACATGACCGCTACGGAGCCACGAGGCAGATCCTCAGAAGCCATGGTCGCGCCAACGGCTATAGGCTCAGAGAGTGAAAACGGAGCAGCTGGTACAGTCAGAGAAAAAGTGAATGGAAGATTCCTAACCAGACTAACCAGGTAGATCCGAGACGGACGTCGGAACTATGGCCTGCCACAATATTTCGATTTTCATGGAAAACGGAATGTCATAAGAAGACTGGAATACGACTCGAGGAGAAGGCGTAAATGCGACTTGGAAGTGCGATGGTCCAGAGAAAAGAAATCGACGGTAGCAGAAGTAGCACAATCGATTTTGAAGCTTGCGGTGTTGAAAGAAGACAACTCTTGAATCTCGTGCTGGTTGTGGGAGTTTCATTCGCTTTATTGCCTCAATCTGTTGCTCATCTGGAAGCAACACATACCGGTAGGTGCAAGAAACATTTCACAATCGGACTATTATACATATCGCTCTAACATTTATGCACATATTGTTTCAACAGAGAATCACAAACATCTTGTAAACGTTGATAGTGGCTGGAGCAGTCCCCGTTTAAATATTAAGTAGCAGCAGTTGAGCAGCCGCCGCTGTAGGAGCAGCCGATACTGCAAAGCTACGTGGGTTGATGGTAATGCTCTTGGTGCAGTTGTGTGTCTTGTATATCCCAACGAGATGGTCCGCCAGCTCAAACATGTTGTTGCGCAGGCTGTGGAACAGGGAACAGACACACAGTATTGAGAACGATAGTGATACCATGAAAACAAAATATGCAATAGGGAAGTCCTTCACGAATGCAGGGAGGCTTGTGATAGGAAACCAAGGAGGAGCGCAAGGGGGTACGATGCAAGCATCTCACCTGATGATGACGAACTGGGCGTTCTTAGTGCGCTCCTTGATGTAATGCGCCACTATGGACACGTTCTTGAAGTCTGCAGGGCACAGACCAAGAGTCACACACAGAGCAGCACAGGGACATGCTCTCATGCCCAACCACGAATGTGCATTGCAAGACGCATCACAGGAAGCAGTATCGCATTGCCGGGGTTCACCATGCTCTTTGACCTTTCCCATTTTCTTGTGCTATGTGCTTCCAACTATTCTCCTGTTCTCTCACTGCCACACCCAAGTCAGCACTCATGGCTCGAGCGAGACTCACCGAGAGCAGCATCGATCTCATCCATGACGTAGAGGGGCGTGGGCTTGTAGTGGTGCAGGGCGAACACCAGCGCCAGCGAGCTCAGGGTCTGCAGCAGCGGGACAAACACAGCAAGACGGTAAGGGGTTGGGCAGTTTAATAAATCGCTGATGCCATGGCACTGCAGCACTGTAAAGAAGTAGTGCATCAGCACAGGACGATGTCTGACACCTTGCCGAAAGCATTAACACCTCGTTACAGGGAAGCAGGCAGCGGCTTACCTTCTCTCCCCCGGAGAGGTTGCAGATGTTCTTCCAGCTCTTCTTGGGCGGGCGCACGGAGAACACAATGCCCTCGCTGAACGGGTCCAGTGAGTCCACCAGCTCCAGCTCTGCATCGCCGCCCAGCGTGATCATCTGGTACATCTCCTTCAGCCGCATCGTGATGGCATCGAACCCCGCCATGAACTCGTCCAGCCGCCGCCGCTTCACCTCCTCCTGTGCCACCCGCACGCTGTCGCGCTCCGCTGTCACCGCCTCCAGCTCGCCCAGCCTCTGTGCGTACACCGCCTCCTTCTTGCGGTACCTGCACACGCACCATCGGTGAAGGTTCAGGGTAGATGCAGATGGTAAAGGTTTAGACCATGCTCACACACCCACTATTTCTCACACTGATTCCTTTCTGTTCAACTACACGTACGTTCAAACACCAGAGCCATCCTCTGACAGTAGGCAGCGCACTCACTCGGCAATGGAGCTCAGGTTGAGGTTCCCCTTGAGTGCCTCCAGCTCTGCTCGCAGCCGCTGCTCCCCTGCTGCTGCCTCCTCCCGACTGGTAACCGCACGCACAAGGTTACCACACAGGCGGGCCAGCAGCCTCTCCAGCTCACCATCCCGCCCATCTGCCACCCCCGCCTCACCCGCACCTCCCTCCTTGTGCTCTGCAGCTTCATCCTCCTCCATCTCCTCATCCTCCCCTTCGCCTCCTCCTCTTTCTGCTGCTCCTGCTGCTGCCGGTCGTGCCCTGCCCTGCCTCTCCCCCTCCTCCTCCCGCAGGTCCCACGGCAGCCCTGCAGCCTCCGCGTCCTCCTCTGCAATGCCCTCCGCTTGCATCCTGGAGGGGGGATGGATGGATGACGGGCAAGGAAGAGGGATGAGGGGCTGGGATTGGGCCTCGTACAGAAACGGCTTTGGGATCGTAGCGAGTGCTGTGAGAGGCAGCTGCAGCATGCAGCGGTGCGATGGGACTCACTGTGGATGGGACTCACTGTGTGATGTGATGCCTGAGCTGTGCTCCCAGCGACCTCAGCTTCTCCCTCTGCAGGCGAGCCGTCTCCTGACTCGTCCTCAGCGCTTTCCTCGCATCTTCCAGCTTCAGCTCCACATCCACCTGAGGGCAGGGCAGGGCAGGGCAGGGAAGGAAAGGAAAGGGAACGTGATGTCAGTGGTTATGGAAAAAAGGGGAAGTTATAAAAAGGTAGTGCTTGATATCCGCACTCAACTGTCTGCTTCCTTACAATAATCTTAACCATCCACCTCCTGTCGTCCCGTCTCACCTCCTGTCTCCCTGTCTCACCTCCCATCGTCCTGTCTCACCTCGAACTCGACAATTTCCTCCCACCTCCTGACTCCCCATCTCACCTCCCCGGTGCCCGTCTCACCTCCCCGGTGCCCGTCTCACCTCCCCGGTGCGCATCTTGTCGAGCTGCGCCTTGATGGCCAGGAACTCCTTCTTCATGCCGCCATACTCCTCCTTCTTTCCCTCCACCAGCTGCCCACACCACATGTCATGTCAGCACACGGAAACAAAGGATGGGTGGAAACAGATTTAGAAGAGCAGGAGAGAGCGAGGGAAGAGCGGGGGTGACGGGACAAAGAAGGTTGAGAAAAAACCCTGACCGCCTCCTGCAAGTGGTCATTCATACCAACCCCCCCTCAGCGCACCTGGCGGAGGCGCTCGTAGTTGTCGTTGACAGCAAAGGCCTCCTGCATGACGGCGTTCATCTCCTCCTTCATCCGTGTCATCTCCTCCTCCGCCCGCGCCCTCTCCTCCTCCGCCTCCCCCACCGCCTTCCTCAGCTTCTCCAGGCTGCGGCCACTTGAGGCCACCGTCACCTGGCTCTGGTTGATGCCCGTCTGCGCCTCGTCTATGGCCTGTAATGAGGCACATCGTAGGGGAATAGTGAGGTGACAGGAATTATCTGTGTGCGCTGCAGCTAAGCACAACTGAGGGATGTATAGAATGGGTGATCCGCGCTTGCAATCAACCCCTGGCACACGTGGACTACGTCCCCTCGTTGTTGCGAGTCCTTCACCCCTAAATCCACACGTCCCACCTTCTGGATGGCGGCCACGTGCTCCTTCTGCTCGCCCAGCGCCTCCCGGCCGGCATCAGCGATGGCCTGCTGCACGCGCGCCACCGCCGCCACCACTGGCGCCATTTCCTCCTGGATGCGCGCCTCGTCGCCCTCCTCGCCCGCCAGCTGCTGCTGCAGCGCGCCCATCTGCCTCTCCTCCTCCGCACTCGCCACGGCCGCCGCCTGCAGGCCCTGCACGCGCTGCTGCAGCTCTCCCACCTGCGCTGCCAGGGACTCGATCTGCCCGGGATGGGAGAGAGAAAGAGGGGGACGGGAGATGCTTGAGAGACATGAACCGTGAGCAGTGCGATTTCCGAGAGCAGCAAAAGGAGGTGGAGACAACATGAACGGTTACAGCAACTGGTTCCCTTCCCGGCCCTACTGCGCACCTCCATGTGGACCTTGGGAATGTCCATTCCCAGCCGCTTCAACACCCGCTCCGCCTCCTCTCGCCTCGCCACAGCCGCGCGCCTCTCCTCCCTCGCGCGCTCCAGGCGCGCCACCACCGCCGCCACCTCCCTCTCCGCCTCCTCCACCATCTCCCGCGTCACCCCCCCGCCTGCCGCCGCCGCCGCCGCCTTGAGCGAGCTGCCCATGCGGCCGCCGCGGGGGCGCCCCCCGCCGCCCGCCATGGTGCCACTGGACTCGAACATCTCCCCCGCCAGCGTCACCACCCGCCTGAACCGCGCGTCCGCGCCGTAGGCAATGCGCGAGGCCTGGTCGAGGGAGGCGGCGACGAGCGTGTTGCGCAGGGCGAACCAGAAGGCGGGCAGCAGGCGCGCGTCCTGCACCTGCACCAGGTCGAACAGCCGCGGCACGCCCTCCGGCGTGCTCACCTTCTCCGACATGTCCCGCACCAGGTGCTGCTGCTTGTCCTGGCACATGGCGGAGAAGGGGGGGAGGGGGGTGGGAGAGAAGTTGAGAGACGTGCAGGAGGGAAATGAGTGAGTAACGAGTGTGCGGAAGTAGGAATGGAGGGCGAGAGGAAATACTGCAGTGAGCGGTAGCTCCAAGGGTAGAGCTCAGAAAGAGGGGCAAGCACGCAGAAGGCGGGCAAGGAATGAGCAAGGAAGCAAGAGGGCACGCATGGCTGTACCAGGGCGAGGAAGGTCTGCACGCCCAGCTGCCGCTCCCTCAGCAGCGCCGTGCACGCCTGTGCCGTCTCGATGTTGTCCACCACTATGTACTCCAGTGCCCCGCACGCCGTTGATATCGCCACGTCGTACTTGCCTGCAGGGGACATGCCATGCCACACGTAAACGTGCAAGGAAGGTGGGTGGTGTGTGCGAGACGGGGGTTGAGGAGACCAGCTCAGCACTGCATACAACAATCCACTCCAGCATGACAAACGCTCTTGATATGATATCACCACATCGTGCCTTCACTCTCCCACTTCTCCCTGCAAGCGCCTCACCATCGATGGCGCCCAGGTCGCCCAGGCGGCCGAAGATCCCTGGAATGCTGCCGTCCCGCTTCGCCTGCAGCAGCGCCGTCAGGATGGCGCTGCTGCTGCGCTGCGCAGCGGCCGCCTCCCTCATCTCCGCCGCGCGCCCCTGCGCTGCCTCCGCCTCAGCCCGCGCAGCTACCTCCTCCTCCGCCTTGGCCTCTTCCTCCTTGGCGCTAGCAGCCGCCACCGCCTCGCTCTCCCTCACAGCCGCCTCCATGCGCGTCAGCTGCTCCTGCTTCTGCTTCCGCCCCACTTCGCGCTCCTCTATCGCCTTCCGCACCGCCTCCAGCTGCTTCTCCGCTGCGGCGTGCTTGTCGCGGATGAGGCTCAGCTTGGTGCGCGTCACGTCCGCCTTGGCCTTGGCGGCGCTCGCCTTCTCCTCCCACGGCGCCAGCTGCTCCTGCAGCGGGCCCAGCTGCTGCTGCTGCCGCTCCACCTCCACTGCCACACAAATCACCAAGGTACGTTCAAATAGGTGGCTGTTAGTCACAGGGGCTGTCGGGGGAAGGGAGAGGAGGAAGGGCGCGGTTCACAGCACGCACCTCGGACGTGCTCCTGGATGCTCTCCAGCTTCTTCTCCGCCTCCGCCAGCCGCGGTGTCAGAGCGGCTGCCGTCTTCTCCAGCTCGGGGATGGCCGTTTCAGCCGCTGCTGCTGCCTTCTCCACCTCCTCCGCCTTGGCTGTATCCTGTTGAGTTCAACACGGAAACATTTTTTTAAAGAAAGGCGGGGGGCTCACGCGAGGAGAGGCTCAAGCGAGAAGCAGCAGAGTTTTGAACAATCAGCACCCAGGTCGAGAAATGACGCTCTAGGCAACAGCCTATGATCTTGGCGGTTTCTGAACGTCTGACACATGCGTAGAGGTGCGAGTCCTCACCTTGGCGATCTTATCGGCGAGCTTCTTGAGGCGCGCCTTGCAGTGTTTGAGGTCCTCGCGCATCTTCACGTCCTTGCGCTCGTACTCCTTGAAGTCCGCCCGCGCCGCCTCCAGCTCGCCGCACAGCGCCTGCCACGCCCAGCCGTGCAGTGGAATGAATCAAGTCAGAACTGGAAAGCGAACAGGGCAAACCATCGCTTGTCACAGAATAGATAGCACAACAGCAGGCACACCATTTGAGCAAATTTATCAGCCGTTGTTTCTTGTTCAACGCTTGCTCCCCGCTCCCCCCTCTTCTCCACGGTGGCTTGCAAATTCAAGCACCAACAGCCCATCCACCTCTCGCGAACCACCCGCCTCTCCCCTCGACCCTCCTTTTGGCTCACCTCATACTCCGTGTTGCACTTCTCGCACGCGTCTGTCTTCACCTGCAGCTCCTCCCACAGCCCGGCGCACTTCTCCCTGCACGCACAGATTAGTGCGGGGGATAGAAGCACATCAGTCCTGGTAAAGCACACAACCGAATTCACCCTCCTGACATTTCTTCCATGCCTACCCCCCTCCCGATACCCCCTCCCCACGCTGGCCATCTGAGTGCATCCCTCTGCTTTTACGCCGCCCGTTCCTGCCTTTTCCTCATTCCCTTACGCGCAGCTCCCCCATCAACCCCCCGACTCACTTCTCCGCCGTCAGCGTGCCCTCCAGCTCCGCCACCTTGGCGCCCAGCGCGCCCGCCTTGCCCTGCGACTCCCTCAGCGCCAGCGCGCGCCCCACCATGCCCCACTGCGCGCACTGCGCCTCCTTCACCATGTACGCCTCCGCCGCCCGCTTCGCCTCCTGCCGCACAACGCGCAGAGAGGGGGGTCGGGAGGGAGGGGTCAGGGAGGGAGGGAGCAGACGGGTGGCAGCGCGTGAGGGGAACGCGGGTTGTGAACACAATGCAGGATGGAGATGCGCGACAGCAACTTAAAACAACAAAGTGGCAGCTCAGAAACGTTCATGTTCCTCCCTCTCTTCCCCCCCACGGCAGCCACCACGCACTGCCTCTAACCTCCCCACAGCAGCCACCACGGACCCCCCCACTGACCTCCAGCGTGTCCTTGTCCTTCTCCGCGTGCTTCACTCGCTCCACCAGCCCCACCCGCCGCTCGTTCAGCTCCTCCAGCCTGCACACGCCACCCCACCGCACCACACTCGTGAGTCAACAACCGTCGGTCGGTGCATTGCCACTGCCAAACCGCATGATTCTCCATTCCAACAAGCAACACCGCTCAAGAACGACCAGCCGGACAACGGAGCATGAGAGGCAGGGAGCGAGGAAAGGGGGGCGGAAGCTCACTGTTTGGCGCCGGCGTCGATCTGCTCGATGTAGCGGTTGGAGCCGATGATGTCCTCCAGGTACTCCAGCAGCCCCTCGTCGTGCGGACCCTGCGCCTTGGGCTTCATCATCGCTATCTGCTCCACCTCGCCCTGCGCCGCGCATACGAGCAATGGGAACCAACGTCCTTACCAACGAAAACAAGTGAACGACCGCGGGAACAAACGTGGCAACGGACAAGTAATAACAGGATCAAGGGAACGCTAGCACTCACGGGGCCAGCAAACAGTGCTTCAATAGTCGCAAAGTTCAGGCGAATCGCGCGTCTACCACTGTCTTTACTAGCTTGGCAGCGGCGCGCACCTGCAGGATGAGGAAGCGGTTGTTGTCGAGGTCCACCCCCTTGGCCTTGAGCAGCCTCGTCACCTCCGTGAACGTGGTCGCGTGGTCGTCCACGTGGTACTTGGACGTGTTGTTGCGGTACGCCGTACGCGATATAACGAACTCCGATCCTGGTACTGACTCGTACTTCTCGTCATCCTGAACGACAAGAATACAGCGTCTGAGAGCCCCAGCAAGGCAGCTGAAGAAAGCGTCATGACAGAACACGAATACGGCAGTCGCTCGCATGCTTATGTGCTGCTGCAGCCTGAACTTACCAGATCAACTATTTCTTTGAAGTGCACGGATACGCGGGCAGACTCGAGATTCTGATGATCAGTGGAGTTGTGAATCAGCTCCGACACCTTGTTCAGTCGCAGCTGCAAAGAGAAGCCATGAATCCAACCAAAGTAGTCAGTTTATGACTGGTATAGGCCATATTCTTCGGATATCTGCTATCAACGAACTGCAGAAAGTAGCATTGACGCACCGTTAGCATAGTCGTCGCGAACAAGGGACTGATTCAGCACTAACCTGCTTCGCGCGTTTCCCAAACACGAAGAGCATGGCGTCGATCACGTTGCTCTTGCCGCTGCCGTTGGGGCCGACGACCGACGAGAAGCACTTGTGGAACGGTCCTACGCGCTGCACGCCCGCGTACGACTTGAAGTTCTCGAGGACCATCTCCGTGATGATCAGCCTGCTGTTACCGCCGTGCGAGGATCGCTCGGCTCCAGATGATGGAGGCGGGCTAGATCCGACGGCTTGGTCGTCGGGAATCCCCATGGCTAGTCGTGGAAATACGAGAGCTCTGAATCCTGCTTGTCTTCTCACTCGGGAAGCTGCCTACAGATATGGCCTGTCGTATCTCTAGCGGTCAGGTGTTCGAGTTCGAATTCACCGGCGAGGGTCAACAAGGCTATTGACCTGACGTGCCGCACAAGGCAAAACTACTGAATAAAATAGAACTAAGTGCAACTATACGACTTTAACTAGGGTAGCGTCGTGAGGACGACAACTAGCACACAAAGCATTTACAGTGGCTGAAGAGCCCAAGAAGAAACTACCAGTGGGGACCTGTGGAATGGCAGAGAGAATCTACAGAACAGGATTGAATGGCTTCGAAACACGGCTTGAGAACGTTGAGCAAGAACCTTGGGAATTGCAGCGCAGAATTCCACGTCGGGGTTGATTGGCTGGGGCTCATCTGGGCGTTTCCAGGTGGGTGAGCCAATGGGAAGTACGCGGCACCTGCGAGCCAGTTCCTGAGGTGTTCAAAATTTCCCGCGCGTTTCTGACACTGGCAGCGGTTCCCGGTAGGAAACTTGCTCTCGCGCTTCATTGTAATTACAACTCAACCTTTAGAATATAATGATTGAGCTAACACATGGAACTTCGCCTGGAAACATACAAAGATTGATGTGTGGGTGTATTCCTTGATGAGCTGTGCTGAATGGGATCATGGACCTAGATTGCTCATGTGGAATGGTTGCTCTACCTGGTTTATAGCATTCAGCCTGCTTCTTATACCAGTACACCCAACACACAAAATTCATGGAATGCTTCCTCTGACATCCAACACTGTTACAAGTTTGAATTGGCTTAGTAGATGCTGAATTGATCAATTATCAAGCAGAGTCGTCACATGTTAGCATCAACCTTCCAAGAAACGATCTCAACCAAACATACCGTACAAGACAAGGGGATTAATTGTCATAAGAAAGGCAACAAAAACAAAACAGAACAGAAACAGTATCAAGAACATGCTGAATCTCGTTCAGTAGTGATCCTTCAGCAACAGCCATCCCCCAGCAACCATCCTTCAGTACCCATCGTTCAATAGCCACCAGCACCATACCCTCCACCACCATATCCACCTCCCCTGCCACCACCACCACCTCCACCACCTCCACCAGGGCAGTCTCGTGCCCAGTGACCTGACCCCCCACACTTGAAACATGAACCACTCCCGCCCCCTCCCCCACCACCAGCGCCACTGCCACCGCCACCACCACCATAACCCCCCCCACCCCCTCCCCCATAACCACCCCCACCACCTGCGCCCCCACCAGCACCAGCGGCAGGACAGTCTCGCGCCCAGTGACCCGACCCCCCACACTTGAAACACGACCCACCTCCGGCCCCTCCACCACCCCCACCGCCCCTGCCCGCACTGCCACCGTCAAACCCCCCTCCCCCACCGTATCCTCCCCCACCCCCACCATAACCACCACCTCCCCCGGCACCACCACCACCACCATAAGCACTGCTGTTATACCCACCGCCGCCAGCAGCACCAGCAGCAGCGCCCCCATATCCCCCTCCTCCAGCCGCATACCCCCCACCCGCAGCACCCCCCCGACCCACCTGCATGCCCCCAACACCAGCAGACAGCCCCGGGGAAGCCGGCACGGGCGCAGTGAGCGGCTCTCCCCGCTGCAGCCTGCCAATGTAATCCAGCAGCACACGGCTCTCAGCCGCATAGTTGACCGGCTCCGCCTTGACCACAGTGCACTTCACCTTGGCCTCGTCCTGCCACGTCTCCTCACGCACCTTCAGCTTCACCACCCACTGGCTCCACTGCGCGTTGGCAAACACCTCCCCCGCCCGCAGGTCGTTCTCCTCCCTCCACTTGTTGATCTCCGACGCTGGCGTCTTCAGCATCTCCTCGGAAACTTCCTGGAAGGCGGAGAGCCAGGTCATGCCGGTGTGGTCCTGCAGCTGGAAGCTGAGAATGTAGCGGAAGTCACAGGTGGGCGTGGCACGGCCGCACTTCTCACAGTACCACCCGTCGCCGTTGCTGTCCTGTACCACCTTCTTCTGACACTGCCGCCCCTCTGCCGTCGTCAGCGGGCACGCGGGGTAGTAGCAGTTATCGGCACGGAAGTACGACACGGTGCCGCGCACAGAGATCCAGTCCACCTTCCCGCCCAGCCCCAGCCCCTCGTCCTTGATCGCCGCTATCAGCTTTCGAGGCTCTCTGCCCGTGCCGCCCCCGCCCGCCCCACCAAACTCGGAGGAGATGACCTGCACGGGCATGGACGCGCCCCCGCCAGCCGTGTACCAGGTGGCCAGCTCCTTGGCGTGGGGGATGTCGGGGTTGATGGCGAGCTGCGTGGACGATATGGTGCCCAGTGACTTGCCGCTGAAGTCGCTCACTCGCCCCGCCTTGATCGCCAGCACCGGGTGCTGCCCCGCCTCCACCAGCTCCTGGTGACGGGTAGCAGCAGGTGTGGGGGAGAGGGAGGGGTAGAGTTATTTTTTTGGATGGCAAAAGGCTTGTGTCACTCCTCTCGCAATACTCACCTCACCTGTAGCATATGACCCCATCCACTATGACGCCCTATCAACCCCTATCATCCTCTCCCCCACCGACACACACGTCCTATCACCCCTATCACTCACTACCATACCCTAGCACGCATGCCTGACCTGCAGCTGCTGCCCCTCGGCGCTGCAGAAGCCGCCCCACATGGTGAGCTCCGTCTGCCGCCCGGACTGGTCGCGGATCATGCAGGTGCGCTTCATGGTCTCGGTGCCGTTGCGCCGCATGATGCTCGAACTCGCGCCCACCGACACCACCACGCCCACCACGTCCGCCACGCTGTTGTTCTCCATGCCCGCCACGTCAGCGATGGTGCGGAAGTCGTACTGGATGGCGCCGATGGCGCCGTCGTCGGGGCAGAGGTCGAGCGAGGAGGAGGCGTCGAGCATGATCTCCCAGTCGCTGCGCAGGTGGTTGTACATCCGCTGCGCCGGCTTCAGACTGCCCTTGGACAGCAGGTACACCTGCCCCTTCTGCTCCATGACAGAAGGCACGGAGGAAGGGAGCATGGACAGAGGGAACGGGACGTCAGAAAGAGAGCAGGGCGAGGATCTGTGAGGAATGTGATGCACGGGACGGGGAAAGAGGGCGCGTAGGTCAACGGAGATTGCCAAGCTGATCGCCATCGACCGGCTAGCTGACGCCCAGCTGGAGCCCACCCTCGTGCTCTCCCAGCGCGGCACACCTGGATCTTATCGAAGAAGCTGTCGACCTCGCGGTTGAAGCACGTGACGCGGATCTCCCCCCCCTCGGCGTCCAGCAGGTCGAAGCTGAACACCTTGCCCTCGCCGCGCGCGTTGTTGTACCGCCGGATGTCGCCCTTGGACGTCACGCGCGCCTTGATCGTCCACTTGCCCAGATACGGGTTCAAAGAGTCGATCGGCACCACCCGCGCGTGCGCCTCGTTGCGCGCCACGGGCCCGCGCGCGGAGTAAGACGGCGGCGGAGCTGCTCCCCCCCCTCCCCCGTAGCCTCCGCCGCCGCCTGCGCCTGGGCCGCCAGCGAATCCTCCTCCGTGACTAGCGGCGGAACCTCCACCAGGAGGCCCGGATACCCCAGAATACTGCGACTGCTTCTGCTGCTGCTGCTGCTGACCGAAGCCACCAGCGGCGTACGGGTTGGGCGGGACTGGCTGGGCTGCATTGGACGGATGAGCAGCGCCCGGCGGGCCGTGCTGCGCCATAGAGGGAGCGTTGGACGGCTGCTGTGGTGGCGGCTGGTGCTGCGGGGGTGGGGCGGCGGAGTTGTTGGTGAGCGTGCTGGCGGGGGTGGACGACGGCTGCGGGCGCGGAGGCGGGGCCTGGCCGTCGGCGGGGAAGGGCTGCGGATCGCCGATGATGGCGGCGTCGGTCTTCACCACCTCCATCTTCAAAATAATCACGATCCTGCACGGCGCGCACGCGTGGCACACATATGTCAGGAGTCTTGAAAAAAAACAAGAAAATATATCTTGATGACGGACGGTTGTATCGGAAGACTGGTGTACGCCGTTGTAATGCCATGCCGCAGCGATGCTGTCAGTACATCCACCTCGCCTTTCCGTCTTACTTTTTCCCGTGAACAGTGTTGGTGACGCACTCCGTGAGATTTATAATGGAGCCCTTCTTAACGGAGGTGCGCATGAGCTCGTTCATCTGCGACGCGATCATGGCCCACTGGTGCCACCGCCCGTCCGACAGCATCAGCCGGTATCGCTCCTGCGCGGGCGGCACGGACGCGCTCCCGACCTGTCGCGAGTCGAACACTTGTAAGATGAAATTGCCATCCGTCGAACCAGAGTTTAGAATCTCAAGCGCGTTCGGAGTTAACTCCGACGCCATGGCGATGGCGACGGGAAAGGGAACAAACAACGGTAAACCAAAAGAAGCACGAGTTGTCAATCGTCGGCTATCTAAAGTGCTGCTATGCCTCCTTACAGTCTGAATCAACAAATCGCTACTGAAACTGAATATTCAATCCTGGGAATGGAGCACGAGGAACTGAATGGTTCTCTGCTGAAACAGGCTTCTTGAAGTTGCCGCATGGCTTGAATCCGTTTTGTCCTGCTGCGCTGTGCTGCGGATGTTTGAACTTTCAAAACTCTAAGGGCGGGGTCAGCGCGTTCGTTTTTCACGATTGTACAGTTCATCCGTCTTGGTGCAAAACGATTCCAATCGGTTTACAGCGGTTTCCAAGATCAACCGTTTTAGACCGTGATGAAACAAGAGTACCCGCTCAGGATGAACTGTACAATTGTGTTAAACGAACGCGCTGACCCCGCCCTAATCCGTTTGGCGAAGAGCTCAGGGACCCAATCCGTTTCGCTGAGGAGGACAGTTACTCGTGACGAGAGTTCTCGACGGCCCAGATTCACGAACGAAAGGGAGGGCTCATCTCTCCCTCGGGCTGGCTTGGCGTCACCTTGAAGCAGAGTAAACATAACCTTCTGATCTGTATAAGTACAGCTGTGACCTGTTATGGA